ATGGGCCCTGCAGATCAGCACCTGCCCTGTCACCCTGGGCTCCTGCAGTCCCCAGTGTGGGTAGAAGCCAGTCATGAGGGCTGCGTGCAGATGGGGTCTTTTTTGCAGGGGCTGTGCCCAGTGGTGGGGAGGGGGTGTGGCAGGCTGTGCTGACCCTCCATTGCTTCTTCTCCCCTACACCCTACCCCAAGGCTGGCACAGGAAACTCAGCTTGGTGACTGCAGCCCTCTCTTCCTTGTGTGCCCTGCTGCAGGCCTGGCTAGGATTTGAAGGCTAGCCTCTGGTCTCAGGGTGGTCTGAGTCTGCTTGCAGATGGGGAAGTCCCCATTAGCCTCTTCCTTCGGTCCAAAGTCCTGGAGAAACAGCCTTTTTCCTTGTCTTTGAGGGCGATTCTCAGCTGCTGTGCCCTTCCCAAGCTGAGGCCCATCTCAAGTGGGGCTACTTCCTTGTCCTGCCCTTGACTGGCTAGAGGTGCAGAGGCAGTTTCTGGTGGACACTGGGTGGGCAAAGCTGGTACCCATCGAGCCCTTAGCAGCTGTGCAAGACACCAGCCCCTCAATGCCCTTCCCCAACCTGTGCCATGGTGACAGTGGTGGACAGACCTGCAGGGAGGCTCTGCAGGGGCACTGTCCCCTCTGGTAGGAATAAGGCTGGTATTCTAAGACCACTGAGCATGAGGGCTCAGCCTAGCAGCCCCATCTGTGTCCTCCCAGACTCCGCTGTGGTTCTGGAGGAAGGAAGTCCAGGCGAGGCTCACATGCCAGGGGAGCCCCCAGAGTTGGAGGACTTCGAACCAGCGCTAGGTACAGACAGGCGCTGCCAGCGCCCTGACACGTACAGCAGGGTGAGTGCCACAGGGAGCCCTGGGGTCAGCCCTGAGCCACCAGGAGGTTGAAGGATAAGGGGTGTGACTCCTGCCCCAGGCCTCTTAAGAATGCACAGGCCTTACCCTGTCTTATCTGAGAGATGGGCACCTGTTCTTCCATGTCCCTCCTGCTCAGAGTGTCCTGGGGAGGCCTTTATGGTATGGCTCTTTCAGGCTTTGGAATTCTTTGCTCCTCTACTCAGCATGGGCCCAGGGAGGGTGGTGACAGTTTGGGGATGGAAGGGGCCTCCAAGGGACCTGATGGACATCTCTGGATGGCCTTTTGCAGTCATCCTCAGCCTCTAGCCAGGAAGAGAAGTCATCCCATGTGGAGGAGCTGGCTGTGGGGGCTATACCCATCGAGCGGGTTGTCTCTTCCGAGGGTGGCCGGCCCTTGGTGGACCTCTCTTTCCAGCCATCACAGCCCCTGAGCAAGTCCAGCTCCTCTCCTGAGCTGCAGACCCTGCAGGACATCCTTGGAGACCCTGGGGACAAGGCTGACGTTGGCCAGTTGAGTCCTGAGGCCAAGGCCCGATCCCAGTCAGGGATACTGGATGGGGAAGGTGCCGCCTGGTCAGCTGCAGGTGAAGAGAGCCAGGGTCCAGCTCCACCCGAGGGTCCCTTGCCATCCAGCTCTCCCCACTCTCCCAGTGGCCTCCGCCCCCGAGGCTACACCATCTCGGACTCTGCCCCGTCACGCAGGGGCAAACGGGTGGAGAGGGATGCCTTCAAAAACAGAGCTGCCACCTCCAACACTGAGAAAGTGCCAGGCATCAACCCCAGGTGGGCCTCTCCCTGCTGGCTGGGCTCTTGCACGTTGCCCAGAGATGTGGCACCTAAGCCACCCTGGGCAATGCAGCTAGAAGTGGGAGCCAGAGGGAGGGTGCCTCCTTGGCCATGAGGTTTTCCCTTGGGGCCTGCTGCCGGCCCCACCCTCACCCTTGCTGCTCCACAGCTTTGTGTTCCTGCAGCTCTACCATTCACCTTTCTTTGGGGATGAGTCCAACAAACCCATCCTATTGCCCAATGAGGTAGGCATGTCTGCTCTTCCCTGCAGGGGTCTCTGAGGTGTGGGGAGGGGGCTGGCCAAGTGGGGCAGGCCAGCAGGCCTCTGCCTGGGCTCAGACAGGCTCTGTGTGGCTACAGTCCTTCGAACGGTCAGTGCAGCTGCTTGACCAGATCCCGTCCTACGACACTCACAAGATTGCTGTCCTGTACGTGGGAGAAGGCCAGGTGAGGCTGCTGGCCACCCTCCTGTTTTGGGGGGTCTGGGTTCTCTTCCTCCTAGAAGCTTAGCTCTTTGACATCCTCTGAGCACTGTTTCAGACACCATTCTTGAGTGTCAGAAACACAGGCATGAGATGACAAACTAGATAGGCTAGAGCAGTGGTGGTGAACATATGGCACATGTTCTGCAGCAGGCTGTATCATTGATAGCTCTAAAAGGTTTGCCATCACTGGGGTAGAGCAATGAGGACTATTGGGCCTATGTGTGCTACAGCGATGAATGCAAAGGCCCTAGGGTGGGCCAGCATGGGAGGTGGTAGGAGATGGGGCCATTGTGGGCAGTGACGTGGCCCTGGATGGTTCAGAGCCAAGGGTTCCCTGCAGTGTACCTTGTGTTTGGCAAATATCTCTCTTCTTGCTTGTGGAGTTGGGTCGTGACAGTCCAGGCAAGAGAGGAGCAAGCCAGGGAGGGGGTCCCAGGTTGCTGAGTAGTGCTAGAGTTGAATGTCTTAGGAAAACAGAGCTGTCTGCATCTGTAGGCTAAACAGTGGGAGTGGTTAAGAAGGCAGGAGCCCAGGATACCAGGGAGTCCAGTCTGGACAGTTGTCAGCATGAAGTTGCCCTGCACCAAGCAGGGATGGTGACAGAGCTCCTTTGGCTCTCCCACAGAGCAGCAGCGAGCTGGCCATCCTCTCCAATGAGCATGGCTCCTACAGGTACACGGAGTTCCTGACGGGCCTGGGCAGGCTCATTGAGCTCAAGGACTGCCAGCCTGATAAGGTGTACCTGGGTGGCCTTGATGTATGTGGTGAGGACGGCCAGTTCACCTACTGCTGGCATGACGACATCATGCAAGGTATGGAGTGTTCTCTGGTGGCCCCTACCACCTGTGACGACTGAGGTGTCACAACCTGAGCATGAAGGCTTTGGCTCTGCCCTTAAGAGGAGCCCAGAGCTGTGTGCCAGGTCCTCCCTGTGGGCCCTCAGTCACCAGAGAAACCAAAGGGGTGCTTGGTAGATGCACAGAGGCTTCGTCTATTCCTCTGCAGCTGTCTTTCACATTGCCACCCTGATGCCTACCAAGGATGTGGACAAACACCGCTGTGATAAGAAGCGGCACCTGGGTAACGACTTTGTTTCCATCATCTACAATGACTCTGGCGAGGAATTCAAGCTGGGTACCATCAAGGTAAGTGGTGCCTGTTTCTGGGTGCCCAGGCTCCACCTTGTGGATGGATGGAGACTGAGGCCATCTGGAGAGGTGGCTCCTGGTCTATCCAGAGGTCCCCTTCATAAGCCATAAAGATGACATCCCTGTCCACTAGGAGAGGCTTACCAGTGACACAGCATGATATGGTCACAAGTCTTAACTTCGCTAAGCCTCAGTTTCCTCATTTGTACAGTGGCCCTTTGTCAGGATTTACTGAACTAACATGTGCCTAGCAAGATGTGCAGCACCTCGCAGGTGCTTAATGTCTGCTTAGAGCTACCCTTGTGGAGCTGACCCTCAGCACCTCCTGGACCCCTCTGACCAGGTTATTGCCATACCCCAGTGTCACCCAAGTCCCAGGTGAGGTCACACAGAAGAGGTGGCTTAGTTACAGTGGAGTCTGGGTTGAAGTGACACACTAGAGGGGGTTTGGGTTGATTCACAGTGTACCAGAAGCCTTGGAGGACACTGGGCCAGAAACCTGGTGGGGGATGTGTGTGTGAAGGCTAGCATGGCCATCCTGGAGACAGTTCCACCACAAGCAAAGGGAAGCAGGACTCCAGGAGAAACCAAGGAAGGAGGACAATGTGACCCACTGAGATGCAGGGCCTGGCCCTGTCACAATGGGAGGCAGCCTTGGATGTCCATTCCGGGGAGACATTAGCCTCAGACTCGCCACTCTGTGTTGAGCTTTGCCAGTGCTCAAGCAGTGTCCAAGTGCCTACAAACCTTGGCACATTCCATTGCTAGGGCCCAGGTGTGAAGCAGGTTGGGTTTAGTGGTGAGGATGGTGGACCATCACAGCCCACAGGCAGGTGACAAGCATGTGACACACCAGTGAGTCCTTCCTGAGCCCTCAGGATGCCAGGAGGACCTTTTCTTGTCTGGCAGGGCCAATTCAACTTCGTCCACGTGATCATCACGCCCCTGGACTACGAGTGCAACTTGCTGTCATTGCAGTGCAGGAAAGGTACGGCCTGGGGTGGGTGGGCAGGGAGTGAGTAACAGGGCCCTGAACCTGGTGTGAGCACCCTGTCTCCTCAGACATGGAGGGTCTGGTGGATACCAGCGTGGCCAAGATTGTGTCTGACCACAACCTGCCCTTTGTGGCCCGCCAGATGGCCCTGCATGCAAATGTGAGTAGAAGCCAGGCCAGGGGCCCAGGTGGGTCTGTGCTCCCCTTGGCTGGAGGACTCACTGTCCTGCCCTCTGGCCCCCAGATGGCCTCGCAGGTGCACCACAGCCGTTCTAACCCCACGGACATCTACCCCTCCAAGTGGATTGCTCGGCTCCGCCACATCAAGCGGCTCCGCCACCGGGTAGGGAGGAGGGGCCCCTTAGGGATGTGTAGCTGATGGAGTAGGGGCAGTGTCCAGCCCAGGCAGAGCATGCACTACCCTTTCTGGGCTGCCTGCCAAAGCCACTTCTCCTTCTAGATCCGTGAGGAAGCCCAGTACTCAAACCCCAGCCTCCCTCTGATGCACCCCCCAGCCCATGCCAAAGCCTCAGCCCAGGCCCCATCTGAACCCACACCTGCTTATGAGACAGGCCAGCGGAAACGCCTCATCTCCTCGGTGGATGACTTCACAGAGTTTGTGTGAGGCAGAGCACAGACCCAGGGCTCTTCCTGGCTGCCCCCAACAACACTGGATGGTATTTTCTATAAATGAAATAAACTGCCTCTGTCTGAGGCACAGGTAGCAGTCAGACAGCTCCTTTATTTGACTTTGTCTGTTCTGGAGGGTTGGAGTCAGGATCAAAGCTATAGCTAGGGCCTTTAGAGGACAATGCACCCTTCCCCCTTTGTGGTACCTTGGTGCCTCATGCCCTCATCTGCCCCAACCTGAAAGCCAGCCCCCAGGAGGGGTCTTTCTCCTATCTGTCTGGCATCCTTCACCACGTGCAAGTCCTTTGCCCAGACCTGACACCAGCAGGCCTGGGTCTGTCCCCAGCCCCAGGCAGGGGAGGACAGTAAGGCCAAGGTGGTGAAAAGAATACCAGGGTGGCTGGGGATTTAGCTCAGTGGTTTTCTGCCGCCTGCGTCACAAGCGCAAGGTCCAAAGTTCGATCCCCGGTACCAAAAAAAAGAATACCAAGGTACAGCTGTGACCCCCAACACTCATCTAGCACCTGTCCAAGGCCAGACTCCGATCTAAAAAACAGCTACAGCTTCCCTGGCCCTCTCACTGGCAACAGGGGGTCCAGGGCCCAGCTTCAGCCACCAGGCCCCTAAGCTCTACTGAAAAATAGTGACATACAAAAATATATACATTTTAACCCTGTATAAATTACTGACGGTAGACAATGGGATGGCAGCTGGAGGCGAGTGTGCGACAGGGACAAGGGGAGAGGTAATAACTTAGGGGTTGAGGGATGGAAGGCGCAGCTTACACTCCCCGAAGCCTGGTTCCTTAGCAAGGGGGGCAGGCTGCTCAGGGTGGCGCCAGGCACAGCCCCGCTGTACCTGAGGACTTGGGAAATAAATTAGCATGTCGGAGGCTGGGTACTCGCTCGTTCTAATACTGTTGTGGCCTCCCAAGGGAGCTGGGAGGGGACCCTGGGTCCTGGCTGGTCACACAGCCTTTTTAAAGTGCTGAAGCCCACAGACAGACAGACCCACCCTGCCTGCTCTCTGCGGAACTTGTGTGCAGCCATTCTGCCTGGCCTGAGACCTTGAGGCAGAAGGTAATACTGAGCACTGTCTACCATGGCTCCTGTGGGCCAGAGCAAAGCCACAGGGCCTGCCCCAAGAAGGGGCATGACCCAGGCCCCCTGGGGCTAAGTGCTGCTGGGGTGGACCTTGTTCTTGGCCCACAGAGGTGTCCTGCTGGGGCCTATAGCCAGGCCCTGACTGGCCTGGGCAAGGCGGCTGGGCAGGGCTGGCCTTGGGCTTGGGGAGGGGATAGGGGGAGGTGATGGAGGAAACTGGGTGCTCCCACAGCCTTGAAGCCTTTGCAGCTGCTGCTCTAGCTGGTAGACATCCTCTGTGGCCTGGTTGAGTCGGTCAAACTGGGTGAGCAGGGCCTCAAACACAGCATGGAGGCGGGAGGGCTCTGGCTCTGGCTCAGGCTCCCCCTGGGGCCCTGGGCGGCCTGGGCCTGCATTCAGCCCATCCTGCTGGCTGGAGGAGGTGGAGGGGTGTGAAGCATCAGAGCCACCACTCGGTGGGGGTGCCTCTGGGGAAGACTTGGAACCCCTGGATGATCGGGAGGGCAGCGGCTCCATTCCTTCAAAGCGGACTTTGTGGCGGAACTGGGGGCGGCACAGGGGTTCAGTCAGTCCGACTGCACCCTGGGCTCATGGGCCCAGAGTGTGTCCCTCTCCCCCCCACTGGGCCGTACCCACCTCCTTGACCTTGCTGAATCCCATCCAGAGGCGCAGCCTGCGCAGGAAGAGCTCCACCATCTCGTAGTCCTGGGGTTCCCAGGCTGGGCGGTAGAGTTCCCCCCGCAGAGAGTGGTACCGCCAGCACAGAAGGACTGCACCCAGTCTCAGAGCTCCACACAGGCGCAGAGCCCAGAGTCCCATGCACAGCAGAGAGGACAGGTGCCAGGACTCACCCAGGCATGGGGTGGGAGCCCTGGCCCCAGGGCATAGCACCAAGAGGGCCTGGACCATGTTGTGGAGGGAATCCATGCAAGAGGAGACGAGCTGTAGGGTAGGGGCAGGAATGAGCGTGTGGCAGGCTGAGGCCTCCCCACGGACCCAGGCATAACTACTTACCAGAACAGCTAGCTGGCTATAGGCCACTCCAAGTATAACCAAGCCCAAAGTGGCCCCTAGGAGCTCCGGCAGGGCCCGCCACAGGGTCTTACCAAACACAGACCACTGGCGCACGAACCGCAGCTGCTGGGCAGTCTGTGGACAAGGAACATGAGCCTGCAGCCCAGGGTGTGGCCCGGCCCTGTGCCCGGAGCTGGCTCTCACCTTGACCAGAAGCAGGAAGAGCAGCAAAGCTGCCAGGCCACGGGCTGCAGTGCTTAACTGTGCCACTTGGTCAAAGCTGGTGAAGTGGTGGGGGCGGCTGTGCAAGAAGCGGGTCCACTGGCGGTCGGCGGTGCCTAGCTGGGCCAGACGTACCAGTGCTGCAGCTGTTGTCAGGGCCACCAGGAGCCACCGTGCCCAAGCCCCAGGCTGTGTGGTGTGTGAACAGCCCTCCTTGCGCCAGGCTTGAGCCTCTGCCACAGAGAAGTACAGCGCAAACAGCAGCAGGCACACCTGAGAGAGGGAGACAGGATCAGGACTTGTGGGGTTGGGCCCAGTAAGGAGGTGACCCAGGACTGCAGAGAGGCGGTTGGTAGGAGGAGGGGTGCATACTGATGTGAGCAGTGGCAGAGACAGTCCTGTGCTGAACCGCAGCAGTGCAAACGGGCGGATGCTGAGAGCTGCCAGGGCACGGCCGGCGGCAGGAAACTCGAGGCGCAGTGTGATGGCAGCGTGCAGCCCTACAGCTGGGCTGTAGCGTGTGAGCTCCACAAACACGGCACGGCTCCTGTGTGGAGAACACAGTCAGCAGGATGGGGCAAGGCCAAGGTGGACAAGACAGCAGGGGCAGGGGTGGCAGGCAGGAGTCCAAAGACTGGGTGAGGGGAGAGCTAGGCCAGCAGGCCAGCAGGGAGGTCAAGGCAGGCAGCACTCACTTGCTGTCAAGCCAGTTGTGCTGCTGCAAGAAGTGCAGACGTGCACGGCTTTCCTCCAGGCTCAGGCCCAGCTCTTGCATGTAGCCACCGCTGTCGTACACCGCACAATAACCCCAGTACCAGGTGCTGTAGAACCGGGCAGTGTTGAAGTGCCCCTAGGCCCACAAGCACCTGGGAGCCATGTTGGAGAGGCAGCAGGAGGCTCCCCTGGAGAACCACTCTCCCACCTGTAGGAGCTCTGCTCACCCTAGTAAGTCAGGCACAGAGTAGGTCCATGTCTCTGAGCTGTTGTGGGCTGCACTCTGCCAGCCAATGCCATAGTCAGTGGTGCTGAAGCCTCTTGCAGCAGGGCACAGATGCACCCCAGGGCTGGGAGGGTCTGGACAGAGTGCTGAAATGCACAGGTCCTAGGTGACCTCCCTGAATCCTCCCAGCAACCCACAGACATTATTATGCCCTTTTTACAGAAAGGTAACTGAGGCAGGAGGATAGTAAAGGTCACACAAGCAGCAGAGCTGAAACAAAACTCAGAAGTAGGCTGCTACGAAGAGGGACAGGGTGGAGGGGTCTTCCAACTCACCTTCCTGTAGCCGCACCTGCCGCAGCCGTGGGGGCCCCAGCTCAGGGCTGGACTGGTTTCCATGGATGTAGGGCAGCAGCACATGGGACATCCATGGCCAGAACTCTTCAGACCTACCAGCAGCAGATACAGTCACACTCCAGCTCATGGCTTCCCCACCTCATTGGGGGCAGGTAACTCCACCCTAAGGCTGTCCTGTCCACTGTAGGATGCTTAGCAATTTCCCTGATCTCTGCCCACTATATGCCTGTAGCACCTTCTCCAGGCCTGACAATCAAAATGTATCTAGACACTTGTAAATGCCCCCTAGGCAATAGGATAGGCTAAGGGCAAGATCAAAGCAGGCCCTAGTGTGCCACCTTGGCCCAACAGACACACATATGCGTGTGTCCTGGGATGTTCCTACCGGGTGATGGCCAGAAAGGCTTGGCTATCCAGCTCCTGTTTGATGGCGCTCTGCAGACGATAGGCATGGCTGTGGCAGGAGGCATCCCCATAGTTGGCCAACAGTGTCACCAGCAGGAAAAGCATGTGTACCAAGAGGCTCTGAAAGACGACATCCCTGTGGTCAGCTGACTCCAGGACAATATCAGGGCATGGCATTAGAATGTTAGGTAATAAACTGCCCTTCCCCAGCATGTCTAGCACTAAGGAAGAGCATAAGATGCCCTCCTGGAGCAGACACAGGCCACTGAAGGTATGGCAGCTGTGCCCTGGGCAAATGTGAAGGATGATGCAAGGGAGTCAGGGGAGGGGGACAGCACCCACTGAAGGGTCCTCTGTGGTCAGAGAAGAGGGACAGGTAAGGTTGAAGTGTGTGCTGCTCAGGAGCTGGGAGGGGGAAGAAAGAGTGGCTGTGCTCACCCTTAGCATGCTATGCAGCCTCTTGACCTTTCGAGCTTCCTCCTTTGCCAAGAAGAGAGCAAAGCCATGGGGAGGCCTCACACGGGGCACACGCTCGCTCACTGGTGTCACGGCTGGACTCTCTACCAGGGTGTCGTCTTCATCAGGGTGCAGCCGCTTGGCCACCAGTGAGAAGTAAAGGGCTTCCAGCAGGACCTTAGGGCAAGGGTGGCATCAGCCAGGAAGCTTGAGACTAGCAGCCCCAGCCTTGATGCCTAACTCACCTTCAGTGGCTCCCAGCCAAGGAATGAGGCCAAGAAGCTGGAGCTGCTCGAGAGAAGCCACATGACACTCACGCTGGGGGGAAAGCTGGCACCAACCCACCCTGAGACGCCCACAGCCACAGCCACCAGGAGCAGGCTGAGCCCGTGGGCCAGTGGGGCACACCAGGCAGGCATCAATCGCTTCTGCAGACCTTCCACCAGTCCTGGAGACACAGAAGCAGCCACGTTAACTGGAAGCCCAGAGGAAGGGACTGAGGGGTATCCAGATCCTCAAATGTACCTGTCCTGGAGAGCCGGGGCAATGGGGGCTGTTCCCAGGTTGAGCCCGGGCCAGGAGGCCCACTGGCTCCAAACTTCTGCATTGCTGTTGTCTTCTTCTTCTCCCCAGGAGTGCTGGACCTAGGCATAGGCAGAACAGAGAATTAATAGTGAGCCTGTCCCAGTACAGGCAGTGGTGTCCTACCCCCTTCACCTAGGTGGGCAGTTCCTCCAACCTCTCAGGGGCCCTGAACCAGGTGGGTATAGTGCCGGGGGCTCAGGACACAATAGTCACTTTCCTCCATGCTTCCTTCTGACACACCCATCACCTAGGACCTGAGCTACATTAATTGTCCTAACAAGCCCCAACAGCCATTGCCTCTTGGGGCACAGGTGGCCTCTGCAAGCTTCTCACACCAGCAAAGCAGGCCAGGGTTTCAGGACCTCCAGTGAGCATGTCCCACGCCTTGCCCTCAGGGGTAAGCATGTCCCCTCATGCCAGGGCACCATCATGGCGTCACACATCCTAGTATTACTTTTCAGACAAAGAAAGTTATGCATGTCTTTCAGAGCCCAACAGTACATCCCAGAAACATGCTGCTCCTAAGGAGCCACCTGACCAGAGTGTCATGTCAGTGACACTGCTAACCCTCCCTGCCACAGTGACCCTCCAAAGTCCAATACTGCCACAGAAGAAGGGGACACAGACAAGAGGATGTACAAATGGAAAGGCTGGCTGGAGCTGGGCGGGATGGACACGAACTGAGGAAAACATCCTTGTGCTTCCTGAAGCTACCCTGAGCCCTAACTGCACAGCCCAGATGAGTGTACACCTGCCACTGACAACCCCCCCCCCCATGTATCTGGCTCTGTCACTGGGCCAGTAGAGGACACATCATTTGCCAGGTGACAGTTTTTCTTGAAACTGACTTTTCTGAATATAAAAATTATATGAAATATAGTAGAAAATAAAGACAGAAAACATTGATATCAGTATTTCTGCCCACAAGAAGCAGAGCCTTAGTGTCCTTGCCTGTCCTCCTGCATATGCATCAACCTCTAGGCTATATGACGTGAGGGTTGTGGCTGCAAGTGGAATAGTCACTGACTCCTCCAGTTGCCCACATGTTCATCACTGCCCTGCCGAATGCTGGCACTGCTGCAGGCCCCGAGATATGCATGTGGAAGAACCAAGTCCCTGCACTCAGTGTGCATGGTCACCAACAGCGCCAACAGCCAGTGCACAGAGAGCAGTCAGACATGGCAAGGGCAGCCTGTGTGTGTGCTTGCATCAGCATGGGCACACATCAGTAGCTCCTGCTTCAATACATGGGCAGTAAGGCAGGCTTTGTTCAGGTGACACAGAGGGAGCACAAGGGGTCACCTCAGGGAAGGATACTCCAGGCAAAAGTGAAGAGAGTCATGAGCTGGGGGACAGCAGCAGGAGCCAGACTTCAGGCAGCTGGGTGAGCACTGGACAGCCTGCTCCAGTATGGGAGGCCACCACCAAGATGGCTCCAAAAATACCTATACCCTATTTCACAGCCCCTCCTGGAGTAACCATGAAAAAAACTGTGGAGGTGAGTGTGCAACCAGCACTGTAGCTCTGCCCCTCTCTCTCAGACTGCTGGCTCCAGGGGAGATGCTGGCTACCAGGTGGGAAGGCTTGTCAGCATCCCTAAGGAGGAACTGAGGTCTCTGGCCAACAGCCAACACCACTGCCATCTGAGCTGTTTAAACACTAAGTACTAGGTTACCAGTTATGCAGCCGGAGAAGACCAGGCCACCATGAAGGCACAGGTGGAGGACGAACTGGAGGCAGAGTACTCCCAAGCAGACCCTGGAATAGCCCAAGATATCTAGATAGTAGGCACAGGAGGGAGAAGCCCAGACCTGCATCTAGAAAGAGCTGAGAGTATTTGCTGAGGGTTCAACTAGGAATCTACAGAAGGGAGTCAAGAAGGAGTCAAAGACTTCAGCCCTGTCAGCTGCCATGGGACAGCTGAGGAGAGATGTCTGGGAGAAAATGAGCACCCAGGGTTGAATCTGGGCTGCCACTAGCTGCACACATGGCTAGGTAGCTGCTCAGGGCTCAGAAGCACCCTTGGGGTGGTAGGCTTACAGCTGTGCCCCCGCGTTTCCCTGTGTCACACTGTTAAATCAACTGGCAATTTCTCATCAAGATGCCTTCATGTAACTCAGAGAACTTCTTGACCTCTGTACTAGGACAGTTCCTATCTCAGCTATTCCTGGTTGCTTGGATATTGGAAGAATTAAGAGAGATGAAAATGTGGAAACTAAATAAATATGGATGAAAAAGAAGTATAAGGTAATTCAAGATGAATCTTTTGTTACTGAATTGGAAAAAGCCAAGACATTGAGACAGTCTTAAAAAATCAAAATAGTTTCAAAATTGAAAAAAAAAATGAGGGGCTATTTAAAAACTTGCCCATGATTTCTCAACTGTTTTGAGACCAAAATCAGAGCTCTTCCCTAGGCCAGGCCCCACCAGCCCACACCAACTGCCTTTCCATGCCTCCAATGCTCCATGCTTCTGCTGCCTCCCTCAGTGGGGGAGCCAGGGCCTCAGAGTGGTCAAGCCCCATGGTCTAGGAAAAAGGCAGAACCAGGAAGCCCTCATTCATCTCAGGCAGGAAGCAGGGCTCCTTGACCTGCACTCTTTCTGTTCCTTTCAGTCCCCACACTAGGACGACCCCTTTCCCCCAGGAGTGAGCACTCACAAGCCAGTGAGCAGGTCCGTTTCTACGAGGGTGTCCTGGGTGACCACTAGGCTGCTAGCCCCTTCAGCCAGGACCTGCCGGATGAGGTCTTCATCTGGAGGATTCAGGACATGTTGGAGTGACCAGCCACTCAGGGACACCTCAGGGCCTCTGGACTCCTAAGTGTGGAGCCTCCCCTCTTCCCCACCCTAGCTCACCTGACACTGAGAAGTATTTGGCAGGTGAGGAGGGGCTGACCAGAGAGAGGCTGTCTTCTTCTGAGCCCAGCCCTCGGCCTGTCCGGCCCCTTGCCAGCCGCTGCAGGGTGCTACACACAATGGACGTGTCGCTGAGCAGGTCTGGCCAACTGAGTGTGCCTTCACTAGAGGGCCAGCACACCAGGCTGTGGGTGACACAGGTCAGCACATCTTTACAAACTCTTGATTCAAGTCTGGTCACACAGACAGATGTAGTAAGGAATGTACCCAAGGCCACATAAGACTTCCTTTTTTCTCCATACCCGGGGATTGGACTCAGGATCTTGCACTTGCCAGGCAGGCATGGTGCCACTGAGCTACATCCCCCACATAGGGCTTCTGAGCCAAGACAGTGTGCGGCAATAACTAGAGCCTGCCTATACTAGACAAAGACACAGGCAACTTGAATTCCCCCAACATGACCTGGCAGGCACAGAACTACATCCAGGATACACTTGATCTTCGTAGGCAACCTACCTTTTCGAATCATCCAGAAACAAGTCACTTTTCGCTTGTCCTGTGAAGGCCTGTTGGGAAGTGCAGAGCACCCTCAGCGACAACTCTCAGAGGCAGAGGATCTGCCTTGCCAGGCAGGGCCTGGATTCACCCCAGCCTCAGCTTGCAGTGCCCTCACCTCAGTGCGGAGGCCTGAGAACGTGAGGAAGGAGCTGTCCAGCACAGATGTGTCCAGGCAGCTATCCAGCTCCAGTGCCTGCTGCCCTGTGGGGCTGGGGCTTGGGCCACCAGCGACCTGTTGAGAGAACATGGTAGATTAGTGGGAGGCAGCTGGCCCTGCTCAGGGGAAACATGAGAAACTACCTTGTGAGCAGACATGATAGCCTGGACTAGCACTGACAACGTTCTAGATTGATGGGCAAGTTCCAGATCTGTGCTAGCATGGTAACCTGACCACATGTCATTTGTTTTAGTGTGCGCGCCACTGGGGATCGAACCCAGGACCTCATGCGTGCCAGGCAAGTGCTCTACCATTGAATATTTATTGTACTCCCTACATATGGTTCATGGGTGGCTGGTGCAACTAAAGAAATGACCCTTTCGTTTTGTTTTTTTTTGGTACCGAGGATTGAACTTGGGTCCTTGTGCTTGCGCAGCAGGTGGCGAAACCACTGAGCTAAATCCCCGGCCCAAGAAATGACCCTTTCTGCAACAGGAATAGTGGTATACCTCAGTGGTAGAGCACTTGCCTAGTATGTGCAAGTCCCTGGGACTGCATAAGAAAAATAAGAAATGCAAAAAAAAAGAAAAATAAGAAATGAACTTTTGATTTTTTTTTTTGTTACCAAGGATTGAACTCAGGTCCTTGCACTTGTGAGGCAGGCAGCGGAACCACTGAGGTAAACCCCCGGCCCTGAACCTTTGATTTTAAATGTAAATGTTAAAAAGTACATGCCTCATAGTTCACTGGATTCCTAGGCTAAATCTTCTTTTTTCAGTACCTGGGATCAAACTCAGGACCTTGTGCTTGCCAGGCTGGTGCAGTACTGCTGAGCTACAACGTGGCCCAATCCCTCTTGGTCATGCTGGCTAATTCTTTCTTAATGCTGCGGGACTTGATTTGTTAATAAAATGTAGAGGACTTAAGATATATATATATATATATATATATATATATATATATATGTTTTGATATGTATAAGATATACAATATATATATACACATATTTTTCTGGTACCAGGGATCAAACTTGGGTCCTTGTGCTTGTGCAGCAGGCGGTGAAACCAATATACACATATTTTTTGAGATAGGGTCTATGTGGTTCAGGTGTGACTCACTATGCCTGGCTTGGGCATGTATATTTCCTTTTCTTTTTTTTTTTTTGGTACCGGGCATCGAACTCAGATCCTTCTGCTTGCAAGGCAGGCGGCAGAACCACTGAGCTAAATCCCCAGCCCCTCTTTTTTTTTTTTATATTTCCTTTTCTTGTGATGTCCTTGTTGGGCTTTGGGGTCAGGATAGTGATGGCTTCATGGAAGAATTAGGAAAGGTTCCTTCCTCTTATATACTTATAAATATTTTTTCTTTTTGCAGTATTAGGGATTGAACCCAGGGCCTTCATACTGAGCCACATTCCAGCCCTGTCTGAAATTTAAAAAATTTTATAGCCAGGCATAGTGGCACACACCTGTAATCCTAGTACTTGGGAGGCTGAGGTAGGAGGACTGCTGTGAGTTTGAGGCCAGCCTGGGCTACATAGTGAGTTCAAGACCAGCATGAACTACATAGTGAGACCTTGCCTCAAAAAAGAAAAAAAAAAGCCGGGGATTTAGCTCAGTGGTTTTGCCACCTGCTGCGCAAGCGCAAGGACCTGAGTTCAATCCCCGGTACAAAACAACAACAACAACAAAAAAAAAACGGCCAGGGATTTAGCTCAGTGGCACCATGCCTGTCTTGCAAGTGCAAGGTCCTGAGTCTGATCCCTGGTACAGAAAAAAAAAGGCAAAAAAAATTAAATTTTTTAAAATTTTGAGACATGGTCTCACAAAAGTTGCAAAATTGCCCAAAATGGGCTCAATTTGCAATTCTCCTGCATTAGCCTCCCAGAGTGCTGAGATTATGGGCATCTACCAGCACATTTGTATTCCCCTTGTATATGCCGAAAGACTTTGTGAAGGACTAGCATTAATCTTTAACTGTTTAATTCACCAGTGAAGCTGTCTGTGTCTGGCTTTTGTGGGAGGTTTTTTCATTTTTGGTACCGGGGATTAAACTTGGGTCCTTGTGCTTGCACAGCAAGTGGCAAAACCACTGAGCTAAATCCCTGGCCCATGTGGGAGGTTTTTATATTACTAAGTTCATCTCTACTTGCTTTATTTATTTGTTTATTTTTTTGGTACCAGGGATCAAACTTGGATCCTTCCGCTTGCAAGGCAGGCGGCGGAACCACTGAGCTAAATCCCCGGCCCTACTTGCTTTAAATATCAGATTGTCTATTTCTTCTTGAGTTGGTCTTGATGGTTTGTGTCCATTTCCTCTAAGTTACCTAACATGTTGGCACACAGTTGCTCATGACATTTCTTTCTACAACCCATTGGTTTAATGTTGGCAATGATGTCCCCTGTCATTATGATTTCTTTTGGTACCAAGAATCAAACTCAGGGCCTCGTGCTTGCCAAGTAGGCACTGTGTTGCTGACCTATATCCTCAGCCCTCATTTACAATTTTGACAATCTGAGTTTCTTCAATCTAGCCAAAGGTTTGCCAATTTTGTGAATCTTTTCAAAGTATCAGCTTTTGGTTTGTTGATTTTCCCCTTTGGCTTCAATACCAAACAGCACAGCCATCAGCTGAGTGACAAGGCCCATGCTCCACTCCCAGCCTCAACCCACCTTGCTCCGGGACATCCGAAAGAGGAACAGGATAGCCAAGTAGACAGGATAGACAACCACACTGGACACCAGGCCAATGGCAACTGTGTTGACACTCGGTGGGATCAGACTAGACACGGGCCCCACACTGCATGGCAGGAGACAGACCCAAGCCAGGTTAGGCAGTGGGGGAGGGGGGATGTGTTGAACATGTGTTGGACCCCACAGGCACCCACCTGTAGGTGGCATCTCCCACAACCCCATACCACACAGCATTGGCACCCAGGAAGAGGCAGATGAGGAGGACACAGCAGGTGGCCCTCTGGACACGAGTAAAGCGACTGCGAGCTGGTCTGTCCCATATGGAGAGCCAGATGTGCTTATCAAAGAAACCACGCTGCAGCTCTGCCACTAGGAGGCGCTGGAATTGCCACAGGGCTGCATCACCTAGGACAGGGAGAAGCTGCAGGAGGTCCGGACCAAGGCACCCACACACACACATCCTCCCCTGCCCCCTCCCTGCCATGACTTGGCCTTACTTGCAGCCAGTACTTCCTTCTCCACTAGGCCACCATTGGCCTCTGTCTCCACAGACAGCCAATCATTGACCAAGAAGAAGGTACTTCGGGCACTCTGCAGGTCCCTAACGATGACATGCTGCAGAAACCAGGCTGGGCTGAGACCTGTGGAGGTGGTGGTAGGGTGAGGACTAGGGTACTGGCAGGGGATGGAGGGAGGACGTGGGGGCCGGGGTATCAGCAGAGTGCAGGAGCAGCAACAGCAGCAACACTTCCCCAGACCTTTGTTGTCATGCCACACACGGATCTTCCACACATTTCCCAGGCTGTGCGGGGTGGCAATCCGGAAGATGTCCAGGCTGTTGCGATGAAATGCCCTATCCCCATCCAGGTGTCGGTGGCCACTCCGGCTATCTGCTCCATACAGCATGATGCCCACGTGGGCCGTGGTACCTGGGGGTTGAAGGGGGAGAATTCTAGGTGAGAAGCCCTCCTTCCCCAACACCAGGCAAGTTATTTCATAGGTGGTCTTCAACAAGCACAGGCAGTCCTTGTTCTGCATAGTTCTGATGGATACAAATTTGTTTCCCCTATTTGTTACATAAACGTCAATCTGGTATCCACAGGCGGAGCTCTGGGTTACTAAGGTGTGCTGTTGGTAGGTGACCACAGAGTGCAAACCTGGCTGCCATTGCTCAGCCTCCCAGTCACTATGGAATAAAACGCATATCATAGCCAGGGACAAGGACCACCTATCTAGAGCTCTGCCACATACAAACCACCAGCCCTACAGGTGGGTGGCCTCCTGGTGATACATTCACTTTTTTGTTTTTGTTTGAGACAAGGTGTTGCTATGTAACTCAGACTAGCCTCAAACTCATTATTTAGCCCAGGCTGTCTCGAATTTGTGATCCTCTTGTCTCTGCTTCCAGAGTGCTGGGATTACAGGAATGAGCCATACCACACCTGGCTGATTCATGTGAGTTTTGAAAAATGGATAATAAGAAAGAGAGAAAGAGAGAGACAGAGAGAGAGAGAGAGAGAGAGAAAACTGCTGGGTGTGATGGCACATGCCTGTAAATCCCAGCACTGAGGAAAGCTAAGGCAGGAGGATCAAAAGTTCAAGGACAGCTTGGGTAATTTAGCAAGACCTTGTCTCAAAGTAAAAAATAAAAAGGAGTAGGGATTAGCTCAGTAGTAGAGTGTGTACCTAACATGTAGGAAGTCCTGGATTCAATCCTCGGCAATGCAAAAAAGAAATAAAAAGGGGAAAAAAGAGAAAAACACAACACTGGAAGTGAAATTTCATAATCATAAAGGATTGTTTTCTGTTGTTGTTGTTTTGATACCGGGGATCAAACTAGGGTCCTTGCCCTTGTGAGGCAGAACCACTGAGCTAAATCCCCAGCCCTGGAAGTGAAATTTCAATTAAAGGTAAATGGAAGCTGGGTGTGGTGGCTCATGCCTATAATCCTAGCACTCAAGAGACTGAGGCAGGAAGATTGCCATGAGTAGGGGGCCAGCCTGAGCTACATAGGGAGTTCAAGGCCAGCCTCTGTGCTACATAGGGCGGACTCAAAAAAACAAAAACATTGTTTTAAAAAAGGGTAGAGTTAAAAAACAAAACAAAACAAACAAACAAAAAAAGGGTAGAGTTGTTAAAGGGATTGATATGGGGATGCTGCACTGCCCCATCTAAGATCCAACAAGCAGTGTGGAATTCAGCAGTGAATATGGACTTCTATCCATGTGTGATGCTCATTCTCGTCAACTTGACTTGAGAGATGATAAGATTAGTAAGGTACACTTCTGGGTGTGTCTGTGTGATCATCAGTGTGTGACCTTGGGAAATGTATAGGTCCCCGGCCCCCTCCTGGCTCATCTCTTGTTCTCTGCTTCCCAGACATCATAAGTTGAGTAGCCCTCCTCCCCCAGTGCCGTTCCACCATGATGTTTCTGCCTCAGAGCCAGCTGACATAGACTGAAACCATGATCCAAATTAAACCTCGCCTGCTTTAAATTGTGTATGTCAGGTATCTTATCCCAGCAATGGAAAGCAGACAGATACACCACATAAATAAGAGATGTGATCACCCTAAAGGAGGTGTGTTGCAGCAGAATGCAATCTCCTCCTCAAAGAACTCTTGAGTTTTTTCCAATATTGAAAGCATAAAAGGAAATGTTGGAAGTCACTGTAAACTTTGGACATGACACTTGCCAGAGCACAGAAAGATGCTCACTCTGTACCCTTGGTTATACAAGGTGAAGAAGGAAACTTCTCAGAGAGTTTTCCACAAGAAAACAAACCACTTAACTGCCAGTATCTAACGTTTCAAATTATGATGTACTAAGGCATTTCCCTGTATGTTTATGTTTTTAAAAATTTTTTTTTGGTACTGGGGATCGAACTGGGATCCTTGCGCTTGCACAGCAGGGAGCGAAACCACTGAGCTAAATCCCCGCCCCTCCCTGTGTGTTTATGAGCAACAGCAAGTTTGTGAAGTTCACAAATAAATTTAAGAGGTCACAGTCATTGCCCACTGATTATCAGGCTAGCCTGTACAGTCTGTGGCTTCACAAACTTGGAGGCCCACACTGCCGTGCAGAGTAAGGCCTGCCTGTGATGACCAGGTGGCCACTTCCTACGGGGAGCCATTCTCTTTCTCAGAAATGGCCCCATATCCATTAAACCATTTCAAGGATCACAAACTAACCCTTTACACAGCACTTGGGAAAGGAGCTCTTGCTTTAGGACACCTATCACCATAATCACCATGAGGAAAACTAGCTAGAGTCCAGGACTACAACTGGGGGAACCCAGGTGGATTCCATGGTCTCCTCACCCACAGTCACCACCTCTCACCTGAACCTCGGCCCCAGCCAGTCTTGACCAGGATCTCATACTTGAAGCGGCCCCCCTTCCCGCAGAAAGGGATGACACGGGCCCAGCTGACATCCAGGTGGTCCAGCCTGCGCAGGATCACAGCCATGACAGCGTAGGTTACAAGGCACATGGCACACGTCAGGAGCACGATGTAGTTCACACGAGCAGCTGGCTCCTGGGAAGACAAAGCCAGCCGGCCCAGGAGGTTCACTCGAATGCTTCACCTTTTGAGGACAGAGCTGGAGCCCACCCAGGCATTCTCAACCCTGTGAAGAGACTGAAGATCAGGGCCCCACTCACAGGGAAGATGAAGTGGATATGGCTGGGTGGCACAAAGAGGCTGGCACCAAAGGCAGTGAGGTGACGGGTGAGGCAGACGGCCTGGCTGGGTGAAGTCTCCTCCAGAGGCACAAGCCCCTCTGTCCTCCACATCATCTCCTCCTCGCTGAAGTACTGGCACAGGGATGTGTACAGGCCCACAGACACCTCCAGTGCTGACCAGTGGAAGTGGCTGGTCAGGTTCAGGTGGTAACTCCCACCTGGGTATCCAGTCCTGCCAGGGACAGGGCAGTGTCATGGCCAGACCCTGCTGGGTCCAGAGCCCCAGTTCCATCCAGGGAGTGTTCTAGCCTTAGCTTTTATACCTGGCTGACTGCCCAGCCTTCTCCTGCCACTGTTCCTACAGAGCCCACGTGCTCTTAGGCATACAGACCAAACCATGTCCACTTGCCACAGCCCACTCCCAGGTCCTGTAGTGGGTGAAGGGTGCTTACCCTGGGGCAATGAAGAAGGTGTAGGGCCTGTGGTCGGCACCAGTCAGCACCTCCAGGTTGATCTTCCTGCTGGCTGAGCAGTTGTACTCATTGGGCTGGGGCGCTGAGTGCAGGTAGACAGCCAGGTAGGGCTCAGGCTCCTCAGACAGGTAGCGCTCTGCAGGCAGAATAGTGTCAGACATCCACCCAGGGACACCCTGGGAGCCCTCTGCCACAGGGCCTGGGAGCCTCCCTACTGGACAAGCATGTCCATGGCCCCAACTGCCCTCAAGCCAGGCCCCCAGGACCCACGTGACAGGAGGCAGATTTCAGCAACCACAGCTGTGGATACCTGCGTGACACCCACCGCTCAGCACTGTGTAGGTAAGCTGCAGGTGCAGCCCTGCTGCGGGGTTGCTGTTGTCCGGAGTGACCACAGCACTGACAGAGGCCCGGGGCTGGACGACAGCTGATCCAACAGGGGCGTGGGGACCCTGGGCAGCCTGGTCCGAGTTGCTGGGGACCTTCACGGTGATGGCACGCTCTGTGGCCAGTCGCTCTATGGGAATCTGGGCGCCGGCCTGTGTCTGGAAGGCCATAGATGCCACCTTGGTTGAGACAGTATAATTGCTGATGTAGCCAAAAGGAAAAGGATTGGAATCCACAAGGAAGATGAGCTGTACTACATCGCTGATGTTGGACAGTGCCCCACTGAAGGCCTCAGGGATGGAGAAATGGCAACCGGAGCTTGAGGTGTTGCCATAGCACAGCAGGCTGTGTGGGTCTGAGCGCTTGCCCTGTGCCACAATCTCCTCACCCGCCAGGGTCAGAGGTTCCTCATTGAGTACACGGGAATGCATGAGGATGCACATGAGGGCTGATGAGAGGTTGTAGGCCTTAGATGCCACCATCAATGAAGGCGATTCAGTCCCCAGTTCTGAGGGCTGTGGGCTCTGTATGTCCGAGCTGGCCAAGTGGATGAGGTCACCTGCAAACAAGACAGGAGGCTGGCACATTGAGGGGGAAGGGTACAGGAGAGCCCAAGGGGAAAGCAGACTGGGAGACACATGCCCACACCTGTGATGTTAAGGATACTGTCAGCGATGGTGGTGGGTGTCACAGTACCCTGAGTGGTCTCAGCCTGCAGGATGCGCATCATGCCCTCCAGCTTGTGCAGCGTCTGCTTCAGGCACGAGCGGCACACAAGCTCTCTGCTGGACACCTGTGTGGGGCCCACACAGTGTCCAAGCCCACCCATCACACATACCCAACTTCCCCTCCCCAACTTGGCCAACTCTGCCCCATGCCTGCCAGGATGCCAGGCAGCCTCCCTGCCTCCAAACACTATACTTCGTGCTGGGTACTGCCCGTGTGAAGCCACCCAAGCCCTCCCTGCTGAAAGCCCTTCTGTGGTCACTCTCAACCCGCAGGGAACATCTGAACTCCTCTGGTGCCCAGGCACATTTTTTCACGCAACTAAGAGCAAGGCAGACACTGAGGCCCAGGCTGGAGTCCAAACTCAGCCATGTAGTAAAAGGGCAACCTCAACCTGGAAAGCACTCCAGTATCATTTCCTCTGAGGACCTGGCCTTGTTCTTGGGTCCCTGTACTGATCCCCTCCCTAGGCACAGCGACTCCCCATCAGACTCATTCCATCCTGCTGACAAATCTAGACCTTAGGCAGTAGACAGCTGGGGTGAAGAAGTCATGGCTGGTGTGCCAGGTATGTGGGATGTGACCACAGGCTCAAGGGAGGGCACATAACAGCAGCCTTTACCTGTGCTGCTCTTTCTGCCCTGAGTCACCCCACAGGGTCACAGACTGGGACTATGGGCTTATAGTTAGAAAAGGCAGGAGAGGAATGGCAAGGAAGGACATCTAATCCCTATGGCCGATACTGTCATGGGCCTGGGGTTTGCAGGGTATCCTGTGCCTGGCTGTCCTACCATGCACTGGGCCAGTGCAGCAGTGATCTGCTGGATGTCATCCACAGTGTTGACCCGCAGGGAAACCAGGGTCTCTGTGATGTTCTTGCGCATCTGGGCCCTCAGCTGCTGCTCAGAGTCAGGCTCTGTGGCCACATCTGGGGCCTGCTCATACTGGAGTGGGTGGTGAACACAGGATCTATTAGTGTAGGTACATGTGGCTACGTGCTGGCTGCTGCATGGTACAGGCAGGTACTGAAAACTCTGCGGGATTTCCTTGAGACCAAAGCAGGGGATACACAGGACACCCTGTGGGCTCAAGGGCATCAGGAGGACTCTGGCACTGGGTAGGACCTGGCATGTGAAGGCTGCTGAGGGGTGAGGTCTTTGTTTCAGGGATGAGATCAGGGGTTTTGTCTGGGTGGGTCTGGGAGTGAGAACTTTGGGAGACTGTCAAGAGTGCTGGTCTCAGCTTCCCAAGGAGCAAACTTGGGATTCCCCCTCTGCCCACCCCCACTGACCTCATTGAGCACAGTGATGAGGGCCAGCGAGTATTCAATGACATGCTGGGGGTCAGCCTGTCTGAGGAGCCCAGGCAGCACACTGGCGGTCAGGCTGTGCAGCCAGGGAATAAGACTCATGGAGCTATTGGGCTCCGGCAGGACAATGGTCAGAGACCTACAGGGCAGAGGTAGGCTGTAAGCAGTGTGGAGTCGCCACAAACCCATCCCCACCCCCAGGGCCCAGCTCACCTGTTGAGGGCAACCACTGCAGCACCCAGCTGATCCTGTACAACCACAGCTAGTCCCACCTCAAAGCCAGGCTGGAAGCCTGGGGGCAGCACAGCTGCATAGGTGGAGAGGCTACCCTTGTAGATACAGAACTCCTCACAGTAGCCCTGATGACAGCGCCGCAGCAGCAGGGCATACACTAGTGGGGCACTTGCATCCTCTGCATCCTGCCAGCCTGTGGGTGAATGCATGGCTTCAGTGTGGCCCTGGCCCCTGCCAGCTCCCCTCCTACTGGGGCCATACTCACCCACGCATTCGAAGTGCACTTTGGTGGTAAGGGCACACACTGCATCCAGTGGGAAGAGGCGACATGCACCCCCCAGTGGGGGCCGGTTGGGTGAGAGGCGGATGGAGGCACAGCCCTCCTCCTCGCCCAAGTGCCCAAGTACTGTGAGCGTGAAGATGTAGCCCTCACCATCCCGTAGCACACCACGACGCACCACTAGCCGCATATCTGAGCTGCCTGTGGATGTGGTAGTCTCATCCAGCACCAGAGTCTTATTGCTAAAGGTATGTGCAGCCCAATGCTGCAAGACAAAGGAGAGGCAGTGAGGGCAGTGCTACAGCCACCTGCCCAAACAGGACCAGGGCAGCCTGCCACTTACCCCGCGCTTGGAGCCACTGCTGCAGTTATGGCAGCGGCCCTCCAGGTACACGTAGGAACTGCGGCTCACTTCATACACTGCCTGTGCCTTGCAGGACACACACTCCAGTGACACAATGGGCACCCGACCACTTCGGACCAGCACCTGGGGAAGAGACAGGTTACAGGGAGGCCATGTCCCACTGAGCCAGCAGGGTAGGCAGCTGAGGGGCAGGGTCTCTACCCTTCTAAGCCCTGCAGTTGGGAACATTCAAACCCAGATTTCCCTGCCTAGTCCAAGGTGTTAGTAGTCTGAAGGGGCAGAGGCCAGCAGGGCTGTCATCTGCAGTACAGGATGCTACTAAGCCTGGAAGTAGGAGACACACAAATCCACCGTTGTAGGATGCAAGGTAAGTGGGTGAACAAACCAAGGCACCCAAGCAAGAGGACAGCAGCCCTTCACAGATCTATCCCCAGGTTTCTAGTTTCCCCAGGAAATGCCTGATTCAGCATCTTAGCCCAACTTGACCCTGCCCCCAGTCCCTCTTCCCTAGATGACCTCTCAGGGTGGGCCTTCCTCCTGAAAGGCTTGCTGAGAAAGGCCTGGTGTTGAGATATCCCTCTTCCCAACCTCAGGGTAGCAGCAGAGCCCAGCACATCTCTTTGGCAGGACTGTGCTTCAGCAGCAGGGGTGGCCATCACATGCACAATGGCCCTAAATTTCCTGCCCAAGCCAGGGGAATGTGAGGTTAAGTGGTACCCACTCCATTCAGAAACATGGACACCCATCTTTTGGGGACAGTGATTGCCTCTGAGGTAAGAAAGGAACTCTATTTCTCAATGTTTGCCTTTTATACTGTTGGTGTAATCCCAGCACTTCTGAGAGGCTGAGGCAGGAGAACTGAAAGTTCAAGCCCAGCCTCGGCAATTTAGCGACTTAACAAGACCCTGTCTCAAAATTTTTCAAAAACATTTTTTTGATACTGGGGATTGAACTCGGGTCCTTGTGCTTGTGCAGCAGGCAGCGAAACCACTGAGGTAAATCCCCAGCCCTAAAAGTTTTTTAAAAGACTGGAGATGCAGCTCAGCGCAAAGGTCCTGGATTCAATCATAGTACTGAAAAGCAAGAGAAAGAGGGAGAGGGGGAGGGAAGAGGGAGGCAAAGGGAGGAGGGAGTGAGAGAGGGAGGGACACAGAGAGACAGACAGACAGAAATGGGTGTGTGGGGGGGGGATCATCAGAGTTCAGAAGGCCGCTGTGGAGTTTTATCATGGCTTGAAAGGAAGCAATACTGAAATTGGATATTTTATATCAAAATCAGCAATGAGAAGAGCACCAATAATGGGCACTGGGTACTGTTTGGGTGCTGTCTGGGCTGTAGACCACTGGGAGGAGGCGGCACTCACCATCTGACTGGCAACCTCCTCCTTCCTGCCTGCTTTCCACACAGTGAGATTGAAGGTGTACTCTATACCGGCCTCTAGGCGTTCCCTAGGGATGGTGACCACACTGCTCCCGCGGGGCCCGAAGTTCAGCACACACCCACTGGTCTTGCTCTGCAGCCCACAAACACAGGAGATGGTGATGTAAGATCCTGATCAGCCTCAAAGCAGAGCCTGGCACAGGGGACAGCTCAGGAGACCCTTCCCCATGCTGGGACCAAGGCCACAGGGAACAATGGGTGTTCACCGGTCACTGCTCAGCTGAGAAAGTAGAGAAGATAGCCCTGCCACATGGCTGACCTGTGTAGCAGCCACACAGGCCCAGTGGAAGTTAAGTGGTGTCTGGTCATCATCTTCCAGGTTGGGGTCGTAGGACTTGCTCCCATCCAGCACCAGGTCCTGCATGTCTGACCACACGCGATATGAGCCACCTTCAATAATAGGAACCAGGCGCTCGGCAGCCACTGTTACATTGGCCTGAATGCTCTGTGACAAAGGTGTGTCCCCAAATGACACCACAAACACGAAGCAATAGTGGCCTACAGGCAGTGCCAGTCGTGGAACTACCAGCTGGGGCCGGCTCACATCCACGCCAGGCAGGACCACCCGTGCCATAGGCCCTGGTCGCTGGCAGCTGGCAGTACGGTACACCTCCCAGCGGTACTCAGTCTGGTAGGTGACACAATCACGCAGGTCAATGTGAGCCTCCAAGTAGTTGCGCTGGGAGCGCCGCATCAATACCTGCAGGGGGAGGGCCACGTCCACCTCAGGCTCCCTGCAAGCTAGCACCTGGACCGTCACTGTGGCCTGCACCACAAAGAAGCTCACCAGGTTGGAGGCATTCACCTCCACACGGTAGTCCCCAGGCTGCAAGTAGGAGTGGTCAGCCCAGGGCTCCTCTGTGTCCTGCATTGGGGCCCCATCCCCAAAGTCCCAGTGGTAGGCCACACGCCGGGGGCTGGGGCTCGTGGTAGCTTCAAACCGGGCTGAGCGGTTGGCAAAGCAGCGGCCACTGTGCAGCACCACATACTGGATGGGATCCTGGACCTCCACTGCAAGTGTGAGGTTCACACCACCCAGTTCATTAAAGGCACGCACGTGGATCTCCAGCAGCCCTGCAGCCACAGGGGTATAGGTGACATCACGGCCTGAGAGAATGACCAGGGAGTCACCCTGGACCTTCTGCAAAGAGAAGTACCAAGCGTAGGCAACTCGAGAACCCCGCTGTACCCGAGCTGTGAAGTTCTTCTCGGTGCCTGTGGCCATGCCAAGCTCACAGCAGTTGGGTACCTGCAGCCCGTCAACAGCCTCTAGCACCAAGACACGCACTTGTGCCTGGCCCCGGCTCACATGGTTCTCAGCCTGCACACTCAACACGTGATCTCCAACCCGGGAGAAGCTGTGGGAGAAACGGGGCCTGGGAAGCACCTCGGGGCTGGTCCCGCCAACCTGCAGGTGGAAGGTGACGGCCGAGCCAGCTGCCAGCAAGATCTGAAAGTGGACCAGCTGTCCAGGCGCTACCACCTTGCTACTGGCCCATAGCACTAGGCCCATGATGGGTTCCTCAACCGTGATGTTGTGCATAGCTGAGACCCAGCTGACCGCGTTGGAGGCATTGAGCTGGATGGAGAAGACTCCAGCATCTGGGAAGCCCACGGCAATATGCTGGCTATGCCTGCTGCCACCTGGCACAGCCCAACACCAACTTACATTGGTGCCTGTGGCCAGCTGTCCCCAGAAGGGCACGGTGGTGCCGGTGGCCACAAAGCTACTGTCTGGTTCACCAGCCCTAATGCTAAGGTTCCTCACAGGTACTTGGACAGCCACCTCAATGGTGACATTAACTGAGCCCAGCTGGTTTCCAGCAGTAACCCTAACCAGGTGCAGGCCAGATGTGGAAAAGGCATGGGTGGCGGACGGTTCAGAGGTCTCCAAGCTTAGCCCTTCCTCTAAGGACCAAGTATAAACCACACCACTGCCACCCGCCAGCTCAGCATCAAAAGTGATACTCGAATTGATGGCAGCTGGATTGGGAGAGGCAGCCACAGTCAGAAACCCCACAGGCTCCACAAAGTCTATGGTGCGGTTGGCTGAGGCACTGCCCAGCATGTTGGTGGCCTGCAGCTGGATGTGATAGGTGGTAGCCTCAAGCACAGTGAGTGAGAAGCTCTTGCCACTGCCTACTAGGGCCGTGCTGCCATCCTTCTGGGCGGTCCAGCTGTAGGAAATGTTGGTGCCGTCCCTGACCATGGCCTGCAGCTGCAACGTGTGGTTGGTGGGAAAGCAGCAGCCGCTGTCACCACCTGCCACCTGCAGGCCCTCAATGAGCTGCAGGACGTAGATGAAGATGCTGTCTTGGGCTGTGCTCACCTCATTTTCGACTGTCACGATGATGTTGAAGGTGCCCACTGAGCGGAAGGTGTAGGAGATGGTGGGGCCCCCAGGGATGGGTGTGCAGCGGTCACACAGCACCCAGGAGTAGTGCACATCACTACCTGCTTCCAGTGTGGTGCTGAAACTCACACTGCCATTCAGGGGCACTACCATACGGCTGGCATTGATGCTCAGCCCCTGTATGCGCTGCTTCACTGTGACATTGAGCCAAGCCTCACTGTGGCTCACCTCATTCCAGCCAGACACCCTGACGGTAAAGTCACCCATGCTGTTGTAGATATGGGTCACTTCAGGGCCCTCGAGCTGTGTGCCATCCCCCAGCTCCCACAGGTAGGTGGTGGGATGCCCATGGCCCATGGCAGAGAACAGGTAAGGTTGCTGCAGCTCCAGCACATGAGAGCTGTTGACTCTGATACCAGTGACCACCATGGGCTCCTGTACCTCCACAAGAGCTGAGTCATTGGCAGCAGAGACGTTGTTGGACACAGTGACTGTCACCAAGTAGGAACCCGGATCTTGGTAGATCATTATTGCCTCAGGGCCCCAGGCACGGGTGGGGGCAGTGTCTTCAATGCCAAAGTCCCAGGTGTAGTGGTAGGAGAATGGAGGCCAGGTGCAGGCCACCAACCGGGCTTCATCCCCAAGCTGCACAAACTGCCGCTCAGGCCGCAGGGTGACGTTGCCCACCTCTGGCTCTACGCAGACACTGGTGAAGTAATGTGCCTTGTTCACACGGCTTGACAGGATCAATGTAAGGGGGAATATACCACTCCTTGTGAAGTTATGTGTCACTGTTGGGCACCCTTGAACAGTCGTGTTAGAGGAGCCATCCCCAAAGGTCCAGTCAAAAAGATAGTGGCCAGGGTCCCCAGCAACATGGGCTGTCAGGTGGGCATCAGGTTGGGTGGGGATGCATGTGGAAGGCTCGATACGCAGGACCTCCAGGACAAAAACATGCACGGGCAGGCTTTGAGTCAGGTGGCCTGCAGGGCTGGCTGCACCCACTGTCACTGTACAGTTCTGTGCCCGCAGATACACATGCTGCACTGTGGCCTCAGAGCCGGTGAGTACTGTGCCATCCCCCATGTCAAAGGTCCATGTGACATTGTCACCTGTCTCCACAGTAGCGCTGACCACCACAGGAGTTCCCTGTTCCACAGCCGGGCTCAGCTGCACACTCAGCCCACTTAGCTCCTGGAAGACGTGGACAGCTGTGTGTGCTACCATACTGCTCACCGTGTTGTTGACCTCCAGGCAGATGTGGTAGGTGCCTGTCCTGGTGTAGGTATAATTTACTGCTGGTTGGCTCTTTATCAGGACAGGGGAACCATCCCCAAAGTCCCATGTATATAGGACACCACCAGGCAAAGGCAGTGGGTGCGGTGAGAAGGTGACAGGCCAGCCGGCCACCAAGGTGCTGTTGCTCACACTTATGGCCACAGCAGGCAGTGTGTCACGTACACTCACGGGCACTTGCTGTGTCAGGTTCTCAAAGGCGTTGGATACGAGGACAGTCAAGTTGTACTCACCTGCAGGGGAGAGGCTTGAGTGGGGCTCCTGATGGCTAAATCCCCACTTAGCACCTCGCGTGCTTCATGGGGCAGCCTCCTCAAAGCATGAACAGCTGTTCCTTAGACATGTGTGTGGATAAAAGGGTGAGGACTGGACCAAGCACCTCCAAGCCCAACTGCATGTATATGAATAAGGTAGAGGGCACGTGGCGAGTAGGGTGGAGGTGATGGGGTAGTGATCTACATCATGTGCCACTGGGGAGACATTTCTATGTGAGGCTTCTAGAATCTTAAAGGTAATTAAACAGTGGTCCTGCTTTTTGCTCCCCAAAAAAGAGTTAAGAACAGAGAATAAGAGGGTACAGTTTCTGGCAAATTCAAATCCTGGCCTCGTGAATGCTGTCTAGCTCCCATACATCAGGCCCAGGTGCCCCTCCTTTACCCTAGGAAGGGCCCCAAGCCATCAACCCGGCAAAGGGGACCATCCCTTGGGGAGCCATCCCTTGGAGGGCTGTCTGCACAGGGTCAGCAAGGCAATGGATCTGCCCCTCACCTGGGTCAGTATAGGTATGCGTGGCATTGTGCTCCACCAACACCTGGGCCACAGTAGGGTCCGGAACCTGGAAGGACTTGTTGTATGGAGGCTTGAATTGGCCAAGCACCTGTTCCCCATCCCCAAAGGTCCACCTGCCAGAGCAGTGGGCAAGTGATGAGTGGGATAGGCAGGGACAGGTGGCCAGGGCTGGCTCCAGCAGCAACTTGTCCCTGCAGTCACTCTTTCCTGGCACCTTTGTTAAAGATACAGCCCATGGGCCGGGGGTTTAGCTCAGTGGTTTTGTCACCTGCCATGCAAGCGCAAGGACCCGAGTTCAATCCCCGGTAACAAAAAAAAAAAAAGATACAGCCCAACTCTGCAACACCAATCTCCCATACCCTCCCATGGATCCTCACAGAATTCTGTACACCAATACCCTGATAGAGGACAAAACTGAGACCTGAAGAAGCAACACTTTGTTAGCCTGCCATGAGCCCCCACTCTGACCCTAAAAGCTAGCTGCCCACCACTAGGCCCAGGGGACTCACAGAAAGGCCACCTCCACAGCTGAGTCCACCAGCACACTGGCCATCAGTGCCAGCACGGTGTTAGGGGGCAACACAGCTGGCACTGCAGATACCTGCAGGCTCCGCATCCTGTTCATGCGCTCCACCGTGACATTATAGTTCACAGTGACATTGCTCACATGGTTGGAGGCTGTGAGCTGAAGAGAAAGACATCAGTCAGCATAGGACCCTCAGCAGCAAAGACACAAAACCACAGCTCAACAACCTCCCCACACTTACCCATAGCCATGGCAGTGTCCGAAAAGGGCAAAGCAAAGCAGAACAAAAGGCAAAGATAAGCACCCTGATATCCCAAAACCCCAAGACCTCATCTGCCCCACCACCACCACCTACCGAGAGCTTGAAGATGGCAGCACTTTGGTAGATGACATTGAAGACAACATTGTGGAAAGTCAGGGACTGCTTATCATCAATGGTCCACCGAAAGACCACATCAGAGCCGGCCTCCACCACAGGGCTGTACCGCTGTGGAAAGTACATGGCATTGCCCAAAGCTGTGATTCTGGTCTCAGCCCCCATATGCCCACCTGCACATGCTTCCCCTTGGGCTACTGGAAAATTCTATGCCTGATGGACAGAGAAGATGTGGGTTCACTGGTTGAGCTACAACTCCAAGACACCCATGTTGGGGAGGATAAGGAAGTGCCCAGACCTGCCTGACTTAGGAGACCAAGTGTGATAGGGGCTGAGCTTGCACTTTGGCACCGAGGGCCTGGGCCAAAGCCAGCTCTCAAACCTCCAGCTGCATGGCCTTGGTTTTACCTTAACTCTCCACCTATAAAGTGGACCTAGCATTAGCAACACAGTCGACCTGTTTGCAAGTCCTCATCAACTCCCATCCTGCTGGAGCCCCCTAGGTGGACACCTTGGTGCCATGTAGAAAGGTGCACGAGTCTCAGTGGGCCATGTGACCTTGGGTGACCAATGTCAGCGGACAGACCAGGTTGTGTCCAGGGGAAACCAGGAGACACAGCTTCGGGCACACTGCACAGTTATGGCAGGACTATCAGAGAGGACCATTGGTGCAGAGGGTGGCCATGCCTAGAATGAGGCACAGGGTGGCCAGCAGCTTTGCATGAGGGCTTCAAATCCCACCTCAACAGGCACATGCATCAGGCCGATGGGAGTACTGCAGAGAGCCCAAAACACACCTGACTCATGGGAGCTCTGGAGGTAGGGAGCCAAATGTGACAACCTGGTTTTTTTGTTTTTTGTTTTTTACAACCTGCTTCTTGGGCCAGGTATTTAGCTCAGTGGTTTCACCGCCTGCTGCGCAAGCGTAAGGACCAGAGTTCAATCCACAGTACAAAAAAAACAAAACAAAACAACCTGCTTCTTGAAATGTGAGAGGGGAAAAAAGGGTTTATAAAGTAGACTCTGTGGCTGTGACCTTTTAGTAATTTAGAAATTGCTAAGTGGGGCTGGAGTGTACCTCAGTGGCAGAGCACTCGCCTAGCAATCACAAGACCTGGGTTCACTCTCTAGCACCGCAAAAAAGAGAGAGAGAAAGACAGAAGGAGGGCGAGAGAGAAGGAAAGAAACTGCTCAATAGTCTCAGTGTCCCTGACAGGAGAGGCTAGAAAACAATGTGCTGACCACTGTGCCCCACTCCCACCTAGCCATGGAGCTTCTACATTGGCAAAGGGGTTCCCTCTGTATCTTTGCTGGGAGCAGGGGAGGTTGGATCACAGGCCACACTCACCACTAGGGCACCCTGTAGTACCCGGGCCTTGGGAACAGGTGTAGCATGGAGACCAAGGATGGGTTCCTCTGCCATCACTCTCAGGCTGAGGTTGGCCTGGCCAGCACTGTTCTGCACCACAATATCCACAGCATGCTCCCCGTGGCTGAGCCCAGGAAGTGCCAACACTGAAAACAGGGTGTTGTTGGTCTCTTGGGTACAGCTGGGCTTGAGGGAATCCAGCATAGTGGGGCAGGCAGCCTCCAAAGGTGCACTGACATTGCCCCCAGGCCAGTGAGCTGTGGCTGTAGCATTGGCACCAGAGTCCACCTGAAGCACCAAGACCGAGCCATTGGTTGGCACATAGAGTCGGCCATCAATGGCAGCCGGGTAGATGAGCCGGAGCCCAGCCACTGGGGAGATCACATTGAAGCTGCAGGAAAGGTTATGCCTGGATACACTGTTGCCCACTGTGGCCCGGACCTCATAGCGCCCGGGATGCTGCAGCCCAGGGTTGGACCTCAGGCCCAGCAGAGGGCTGAGCCGCTCGGTGGCTGTAACCAGCTGCAGGATACAGGCAGGGCCAGGCTGAGCATCATCCAGCAGGGTGGGCAGGTGAGCTAGCCAGTTGGAGGCATTGGTAGAGAGGTATAGGGCCTGGGGGCCAACCTGGCTGGGTGCCAGGGGACACTGCAGTAGGGCACCTGAACCAGCATCATGCTGTAAGCCAATGAGGTCACCAGGGAGCACAGGGATGTCCTGGCCATGGAAGGTTACCTATGGAAGAAGGAGGCAAGACTGTCATATTCTGCAGGCAAGGACCACAGGACCAGGGCAAAGATGGGCAGATAGGGATTCCACTGGGGTATCACCATCATTATCCATGTTTCAGAATCCCCACAGCCCAGGAACTCATGGCAGGCAGACAAAAAGGGCAAGCAGACAAAGGCTACATGATCCCAGAGAGGATACAGCAGAGTTGGGCTGCCTCAGGGGAGAAGGCCCTTCTCAGAGGACTCAAAGGCTGGAAAGAAGCTATTACATTAAAGGAGGGACTCCTCCTTCAGAAGACACAGTGAGGCAGGTGCTTCTTGTGTGGGGAGACAAGCAAAGGCACTCAGGCTGGTGGTGGGCAGGGACATGAAGGAGATGAGGGGAGGTGCTGCAGTGTTCGGAGGTATCATGTTCTCTCTGCCTGGTGGGAGACCAGGTCTTTGGGCAGCTGAGGGGAAGGAGGACTAGAGAACTGCTCAGAGGCAGACAGGTAGATTGGGGATACATACCGAGTACTGCATGGGGGGCCCTGCAGGCACAGAAAAAAGGAACTCTTTCCACAGAGCATAAGTGTGTCTGGGGAGCCTAGGCTCTAACACGGACTCATTGGCACAGGCCCAAAGGTGGCAGGCAGCATCCAGCGGCACACAGAGATTGGCACCAGGACACCAGCATCCCTCTGGCATACACCTGGGGGCTGGCTCAGTCCTGTAAACAGGCTCACTTTTATTTTCTGGAGCCCCTGCAAGGAGAGAAGGGATTCCAAGAGTCCTGGGTTACTAAGAGGCCAATCAGGGATGCCCTATCCACCTACTTCAATACTAGACCTACCCATGTAGCATTCCAGGCCCCTCACCTCCTCTGCCATAAGGCCAGCTGACTGACCCAGGGTAATCCCTCCCTCTACCATGAGGCAGGCCCCACCTAATCTGTCCGTGGGACACACAGCAAGGCTCTGTAGACCCCGTATCTCTCTTCACCTCCAGGCTAGGGACCAGAAGACCTGAGAAATGGGCCCACCCAAGCCCCCTGGCTCCCAATGCCATTGCAGAGGCCCACCTGCCCCTCCTGAAGGCCGGTACACCTGAAGCCGCAACTGGGCAGGCCCCTCAAGCTCCTGGGTCTCAAACTCAGCTGTAGTGAGGAAGCCTTCATGGCTGGGGCTCAAGCCAGGGAACACCATGACCTGGTGGACAGAGGGCCACCTCAGCTCCAGAAAACCCACCCCAGGGCCTGGACTCCTTGATCCCAAATACCAGGACAGAGGGGAGGAGGGACCTTCCTGAGGCCACCACAGGCATCATTTTGTGTCACTTGGAAGGAAAATTCAGATCAAAATCATCCATGAGCCCTACTGTGGTTTTACTCCTGGTCCCTTCCTATAGTCTTTTTTTGTAAATTAATTTTTATTAGTACATGTTTATAATAAATACAGACTGATTACATTCAGCAAGGGTGTTGGTACATGTAGTAACACATCTTAATTCTTTTTATGTACTCCCTACTGTGGTTTTAAAAATAATTAACTCAAAAACAACAACAACAACAAAAAATTAACTCAAAACAGTGATAGCAAACCTTTTCGAGTGCCCAAACTGCAACCCAAAACTCACTTATTTATCACAAAGTCTCAACACTGCAATTAAACCCGAATACTGACTAGTCACGCAAAAGCTCGGACAAGTTGCAAAAGCTTGGCTAATGAAGTGTGGCTTGTGGCATCATTGCCTGGCACCACTACTCCTTTCCGAGCATGTGCGTGGTGGCCCCTACGTGCACCACTAACCGAGGCTCAGCTGCTAGGGCAATGCTGGGGTGACTTTGCATGCCTGCTGTGGCATGTATTCATGTGCCATAGGTTCACCACTACTGACCCAGAGCAAGGGCTAGGAGAGCAGTAGTTCTTCCAGATAATGGGATTAGATGCTTTTTATCTCTGCACTACATGGAGTTTCCAAGTTATCCATGTTGGTCATTAAAACTGAAACAATCTCAGGGCCTGGAATTTAGCTCAGTGGCACTGTGCCTGCCTCACAAGTCCAAGGTCCTGAGTTCGATTCCCAGTACCCCCCCCACACACAAAAAACCAAACCCACAAAAAACCAAAACTGAAACAATCTCCCCAAAACCAACTTGTTCCTTTTTGTTGTTGTTTTTTGTTTGTTTTGTTTGTTGTTTGTCTTACCATATAGTCCAGGCTGGCCTCAAACTCACAGCAATCTTTCTGCCTCAGCCTCCCAAGTGCTGGGATTACAGGTGTGCACACTACCACACCTGGCTGCCAATTTGTTTTTAAAAGACACATAACAGCAGAGTAAGGCAAGGCCCTGGAGGGGGTATGTCCTCCAGAACAAAGAGGGGCCAGCCTACCTCCACGGGCTGCCGGGGTGGCAAGAGGCCTTCCTGTGGTGTCAGCAGAATCAGGGGGCCCTGCAGGCCGCCATCAGGCACTCCCATGAGGAAGTTCTCAGCATCCCACATGGGGCCTGGAGATGGTAATTATGCAGTGAGTGCCCATGCCAGGGTGAAGGGACAACAGGGGAACATCCAGGGTCGGGCCAGACCCGAGATTGAGCCACCTGGGAGCTGCCCCCCATACCACTCCCTCCATCTTTGTTTCCTCTGGTACAATCTCAGACCAAGCCCAAGAGCAGGTGCTCATCAAACACCTAGCCAACACTAAATGCTGGGAAACGCACCTCCAGGCCGCAGCTCACAGACGTAGCTATGAGGTGCTGAGCACAGGTCTGTGTTGCACTGTCCAGCAGGCCCCAGCCGCACACAGTGCTCAGCCGTGGCTGGGTGCGGCTCCCCAGGCAGCCAGTTTTGACAGCTCTCCAGGTTGAAGGCTTCGCCCTGGGGTGCCAGGCCCACCTCTGCCCCCTCCACAGCTGAGAAGCCAATCCATACATCCAGGCTCCTGTGGACAGATGGTAGGCAGGCCAAGCACTCGGGCTATGCTCCTCACAGCACCCTGGCAGGTGGGCTCTAGCACCATCATCATTTTCCAGATAGTGAAACTGAGGCTCAGATACATGAACTACCAAGCAAAGTCCATGGTAGCACCCATCCATGCCCATGAGGCCAGTGTGGCAAGGCCAAGGGCTCCACAGAAGGCTCTGCCTCAGATGCAAGGCCGTGGGCTATCCACACTTTGCCTTGCAGGTGCAGCATTTAGGAACCAAAACAGACTCATATCAGACCCCAAATGGGCTGACAGCACTGTCAAAGCAGGAAGCCCTTTCTGGAGGCAGGGTTCATGGATGTATGTATGGGCTCTGGCCCAGACACATAGAGGAAAAACATGGGAGGGAGAGAACTGCACTGGGCCCCAGAGATGACCTGCCTGGGAAAGGACCTTAGCCACTCTGGGCCTTAATTACATCTGGGCACTGAGGATAAACAGGGTATGACCCACTGGCAAAATAGGAATTCCCCACCCTTGCCCAGCACATGGACACCCAGAGAGTGGGCATATAGCCTCACCTCCCACACCAGCCACAGTGTACTCTGGGGCCACAACAAGGGTCTGACCCACTACTACTGGGAGGCTCATGTCCCCACAAGCACCCACCACGTTCTCCATGGTGTGGGTGGTATATGATACCCCTGCCCCTCTCTAAGCGGGGAGCAGGTACAGGGGCATAAGAAGCAGAAAGCAATTTCGGGGCCGGGGATTTAGCTTAGTGGTTCCGCCACCTGCCTTGCAAGCGCAAGGGCCTGAGTTCGATCCTCGGCACCAAAAAAAAAAAAAAAAAAAAGAAGCAGAAAGCACAACCTCCAGGGCATCCCAGGACCAGCCCTGTCAGGAGCGCCTAGAGTCCTCCCCTGCAGAGACAGGACAGATGGGAGCCTGACCCCAGCTCTCACTATGACACATGCCACAAGTGTTTACAGAAGCTACTCCAGCCCATGTCCACATCTGCACCTGTAGAGTTATAGGAACAGCCACCCATGGGGCAGGACAAGATCCCTCCAGCCTCCCCATCTTGACTTGGGCACTGCCCACACCCCCATCCTGGCAACCCCACCCTTCTGTGGCCTGGGGTGAGGGGGCAGGCACCTGGTAACCTGGGAGACCAGGAAGTGCTGGATTGCAGGACTGTCCACCATGGCCAAGGCGGCCCCAGCCCAGGCCCGGCACTGCTCCTGTGCCTGCAGCCAGGGCGCCTTCTCTGCCACCAGGCGGTAGCAGTGCCCATTGCCAGGGAAGATCTCCGTATCCGAGGGGCAGAGCGGGTGAACCACTGGGGGATGATGGACAGAGACCAGGCATCAACATGTGCCCATGACCAAAGTGTGGGCTCTCCCCAAACTCCAATCTTGCAGGGAAAGGGGAGGCAGAAGTGGTGACCTAGGGCCCAGCTTTTGAGGTACCTACCTTGGACTGGTTCCTCGTCCAAGGCTAGGATGCTGTAGGTAGCCTCAAGGTCTGAGCCTCCACGGTTCCGGATACCCAACTCAAGGCTCTCATCTCTGTGCACAGAGGACGGGCACACAAGCTCCAGGGCAGCAGGTGCCACCTCTACTTGCACCTCTGTCTCCAGTGTGGCTGAACCAGCCCCTAAGGCCAGTACTGCCATCACATGATAGTGTCCAGGCAGCACATAGCGGTGGGTGGCAGCAGGACCAGCCACGTCCAGCTTGGGAGAGCCATCGCCAAAGTCCCAGCACACGGTGCTGATGGGCAGGGAGGTGGTGGTGATGTGGAAGGCTGCTGGCTGGCCAGAGGCCAGGGGTCCATGGGGCCCCACCAGGGTGGCCCCTGGGGAAGCAGGGAAGACATGCTGGAGGAAGGTGGGGCCCCCGCAGGCAGGGATGGGTGGCAGGGGGCTGGAACACAGGGACAGACAGGCCATGGAGGTGTTGGGGGTCTGGGCTGCCCCACACAGACATTGGCCCTGCTCCGAGAGGGCTGCTAGGCCCTGGCCACCTAAGAAGCAGAAGGTGCTGCAGGCCTCAGGTGCCAGTGGGCCCCTGTGGGCAGTGGAGAAGGCCACCACCACCATGGTATCCGAGCTGTTGTCAGGGAGACAGCCAACGTACTCCTCACCTGGAACAGACACGCTGGTTGTAGGAGCCCACCTCCTCTTGGCTTCATCAAGCAGACAGCCTCCCTGGCACCCACTCCCACCCTAAATCAGACCCCCAGAGCCCCAGCCTCTTCACAGGGGCATTCATAACCCCACACACATCTCACCCTGGACCCTCTGCTGTTCCAGGAAGAGCTGTGGCCCCTTCCTGGCCTAGGTCCTGGCAAGGAGGCCAGACCTACCCTACACCTGGCCCACACTCACCACAGCTGCTATCCGGGAAGGGGAGGCTGAGGAGGGGCTGGCCGGCCAGGGGGCCTGGCCCTGTGCACGTAGCCTCCTCTGGCTGCACCACATGAATCCGCTGATCCTCTGTCCAGCGCCTCAGCCACACCAGACCACAGTCACACTCAAATGGGTTCCTGCTCAGGTTTCTGCAGCGGAACAGGTATGGGGGACCAAGCTGGGAGGGACTGCCCTGACAGAAAGGTCCCCACTGCCCTCCAGTGGGGCCTACAAACTGTCCCTGGGTCTGCTCTCAAATTTGGGAGGGGCAAGGGACCCAGTCAGGAGGGCACAGGGGCTTTTAGGGGACAGGTTGTACAGCTACTGACACCACCAAAAGCAAAGCAATTGGGCTGGGGATTTAGCTCAGTGGCTCCATGCCTGCCTGCCTGGCAAGCCCAAGGTCCTGAGTTCAATTCCCAGTATCAAAAAAAAAGCAAAGCAACTTACATTTCACTTAAATTAAATAAATTAGCAAATATTCCTTCTTCTAACGTAGAAATCTTATTGTTGCTTATGTCCCTGGAAGACAGGAGGGATTAAGCAGTGACAGGAACCCTTGTAATGATATGACAGGCAACTGCTACTTCCCCACCCTGAGTAAATCCCCAGCATGCTGGAGAGGTCAGGCACTGCCAAGGAGGGGACACTCACAGCTCCACCAGCGCTGAGAGGTTTGCCAGGAGCCCGACGTCCAGCGTCTGGAGCAAGTTGTGGGAGACGTCTCTGAGGAGCAGGGGAGCTGCAGGTCAGGACAGGCCACAGGGCCATCCCTGGTTCCACACTTAGGGGTGTAATAGCACCTCGAACCTGCAGCCTTCCACCCTCTGAACTCCCCATTTCCAGGGCCTGGGAAGGGGCTCTTCTTTTGTTTTGTTTTGTTTTGTTTTTTGGTACTGGGGATCGAACTCAGGGCCTTGTGCATGAGAGGCAGGCACAGTCCCACTGAGCTAAGTCCCCGGCCCTAAAGGGGCTCTTCTCTTGGAGGATCCGAATGAACACTCATCTGAGGAAACTGAAGCAGGAAAGTTGGTGCCCTCAGTGCTCTGTACCCATCTCACCCCTGCACTGAGTGCCACAGGACACAGCCATACAGAATTGCTGAATGGAAATGGCCTAGATGGGCATAGCCCCTTCTGTCCAGCCTCTCCCTGACAGGCCCAAGGGCCCATACCAACCACTTGCCGTACTCTAGTACGGTCTCATACCACCACATGGGATTCAGAATGCACAAGGGCTGCCAGGGTCCAGTTGCTGGAGGAACGACCTTAGGATGTACCCAAGACACAGTGGGGGCAAAAAGATAAGATAAATAGAAAGAAGGGGCCGGGTGGATGAGCCCACATCACAGTGATGTTGATGGTCTATAACAAACTTCAAGTTCAACACTACCAATTACAAAACCCACCGGGACAGTGATACAGCCCTGTAATCCCAGCACTCAGGAAGTTGAGGCAAGAGGTTCACAAATTCCAAGCCAAACTGGACTACACAGAAAAACCCTGTCTCAAAACTCCAAAAATAAAAATAAAAAATGAAAACCTTTACTGCACCTACAAGATGATACAAAGGTTTATCTGGATCAAACTATGAGAAGAATCATCAAGAAACATGGAAGAAGAAAAAAGAAACATGGAAATAGGAATTTGTGCTCTTTGCTACTGTGCCTTGCACCCAACCAACAGAGGGGAAGGAGCTATAACAAGCCTCTGGCTTTCAAGAACATGCAAGAGGGAAATAAGTCATAAACAAGCACAATGTGGGCACCAGAGCCAGGGCTCATCTTCACAACTCACAGATCACACAGAACCTAAGCCAGGATATACCAACCAAGAACACCAAGGAATAGTCACAAGTTTTCAGAGCATGAACCTAAGAGCAGAAACAAAGTATCAAAGACCAAAGAACCAACTACATCCAGAAACATGCAACCTAGCTAGGTACATTCGATAATCCCAGCACTCTGAGAAGCTGAGGCAGAAGGATTATGAGTTCAAGCTCACCCTGGGCAATTTAGCAACTTAGCAAGACCTTGTCTCAAAATAAAATAAAATAGGCTGGGGGTGTAGTTCAGTGCAAAGGCCCTGGGTTTAATTTCCAGTACCACAATAAACAAACAAGTAAGCAAGTAAGCAAACACCAAAAACATTCAACCTCCACAAAAAATATTATAAATAAAACCTGAAAACAAACAACAGGCTGGATGGCGCCAGTCACAATGACATATACCTACAGTCCTAGCTGCTCAGGAGGCTGAGGCAGGAGGATTCCTTAAGCCCAAGAGTTCTATACAAGCCTTAGCAACATTGTAAGACTGTCTCAAAACAAACAAATCCAAAAAAAAAGCACTACGAGCTGGGAAAAGTACTAGTAATTTGGATTATTGACTAAAGACCAATATTACTCTTGCTACGAACATTAAACCATGAAGCAAAAGCCACTACTCCATTTTTTAAAAAAGGAAGAGCTGGGCATGATGGCACAACCCTGTAATCCCAGATACTCAGGAGACTGAGGCAGGAAGATTAGAAATTCAAGGTCAGTTTGGGCAATTTAATGAGACCCTGTCTCAAAATTTAAGCATGAAGCCTTAAATCCAATCCAAATTACCACAAAAGAGAAAAAAAGAAAAAAATGGGCTAAATGCAAAAATGCAATTAATAAAAGTATAAATGGTCACAGACGTGGAAGGAATACTCAATCTTCATAGTATTTAGAGAAATACCAACAAAAACAACCCACAATAACACTTTTTATCTAAGTTGTGAGCATGTTAGAAATCAGTCCCCAGCTCAGGGTACATGGATGGAAGTGACCCATGTGCTCCACCCCCATGAAACTGGATGACTATCCCACTAGGCCTTTCTAGGCAGCATGGTCCACCTTTGAGGTGTTCCACTCTACCCACCAACCCCACCTCCTTGAGAATCCCTGGTGGAGGCAAGGGCCATGGTCACCCCTGCTGTCTACCTTCTGGCATTCTTTCTATCCATTATTCCTAACCCCCAGACTCAGTGGGGCCACTAGGATGGGGTTCTCTGGACTACTCTGACTCAGTGGACACTTCTTGGTCCTGCCCAATCTGCTATCACCCTACAGTCTCCAACCCATGCAGCCTGGATCCCCAACCCACCCCCACTCACAGACCTTCTGCTCTCCTAGGTAGGGATCACCATTCACCACACAAGACTGCACTTGGTGCTTCTCACTAGCCCAGGTCTTCCCAAAAATAGCCACCCAGCTGCTGAAGCCAGGGGTCAGGAAATAGAGTCTGCCTCCACCCTTTCCCAGCCCTAGCACAGTCCAGGCCACCCAACCCAGCATCTTCCTGGACAATGCCCTGGCTTCTGCTGGCCACATCTTGCCACTCCTATCTGAGCTCCCACAGGAGAGGCTATAGCAATGGTTGTGCCAGATAGACCAACTGCAGACAGACCTAAGCAGAGATTTCTCAGTGGCTGCAGTGATGTCAAAGGAATCTGTACTTTCAGGGGAAGCAGGCTGTGGGGCTGAGCAGCAATGGTCCTGGGAAGGAAGGTGAACTAGAGACCAGAAGCTCGACCAGGGGACTGGGCAGCACCAGGAAACTTCTGGCCCAGTCTCCTATAAACAAAAAGAGGAAGAACCCCAAGTGTTCTTCCACATCCTGCTTTCTGGAAAGTTCATCCTGAGTGGCAGCTTCTGGGGGTTATCTGAGAAAGCAGGGTAGGGGGAAAGGTCAGCCTTAGAGCCCCAGCAACCTGTCCTGATGTCAGGACACTACCACCCCTCCCGACTGGTTCTCCACTGAGACCAGTTCAGTGGTAGTGCACCCAAAGTTTCTCACCCAAGAAACTCCCCTACCACCAGGGATTTTTCTCCAGAACCTGCCTAGGCCATGGCTGTGGCACAGAAAAGCAAAGAGGGTCTGGGACCCTGCTTGGTCAGTCACCCCAGTCTAGGACAAAACAGAGCCTGGACAAAAGCCAGATGCTATACCTTGGCCCATATCCCCAGGGTAGGAGCATCTACATGGACAGGATATGGTAATGTAAACTGCAGGTGGACACCAGGGACATTAGAGAAGTACCCAGGAGTCATCAACCAGCCCTGCTGCCCATAGACACAAGACCCTGAACAACAGCTTTCCATATCTGCATTTGCTGCTGCCATCACAGTTCTGGGTGAACATCAAACCCTGACTAGCCTCATTTCCCAGTGCCTTGGGCTTCCTTCATATCCCCAAGTGATGTCATCATAGCCTGATGCCTTGGCCCCCACACTCTAGGTTTCTGCAAGGATCAGGGAGTTGATGCAGCAGGCACTAGGTCCCCTGACAGAAAGGACACAGAAGCAGGAGCACCAAGGAGAGTCAGGTGGCAGCTGTCCCATAGCCGCTCACCCCTTATCAGGAGGAAAGCCAGCAGCCTAGCAGGGGTACCCCAAAGACGTCTGGGCCAAGTGGGGTCCAGTTGGACCCTCTGAGCTCTAATGCCTAAACCAGTAGCTTCCAGGGACCTTGCAGCCAAAATTGAGCAGGCCAGCTCAGGATGGGGGCAAGGGGACTGGGGAATCACATACAGGCAGGCAGATGACCGTGGCACTAAGAGACACATGTCACATGGGTATGGTGGTGCATGACTATAATCCTAGTATATGGAACACTGAGGCAGGTGGACTGCCATGAGCTCAAGGCCAGCTTGACCTATACACCGAGACCCTGTCTCAAAAACAAAAAAAAAAAAGAGAGAAAACATTTCACATCCCTGGTAGGCCTGCTCCCCACTGCCTAAGGCACTCAGGCACTAACTCCACAGTCTGTGACAGAGGTGTGAGAACTCCTTCTGACTGTCCTCTCTGCCTGTTGCAAACTGGCCAAGTGTGCTGAGAGGGGTGAAGATCCCATTGTACCTCATATACCAACACCCTCCTTCTCCTCCCCTTGCCTTTCAGATCAAACATTCTAAGGAGGGACACCTGGTGCCACTGGGGCTAGGCATCACACTGCACATATTGGGTACACCTGACATGGCAAGTGGGCTTCCCACTTGGGAGTATGTACACCACCCAGGAATGTCTCAGGGTCTGGCTCCCAATTTTCCTACCCACACAGGGCTTACCTCTAGGCCACACAGCAGGGGTAGGCAGGTAGTCTCAAGGGTGGCTTGCTGGAGAGGGAATGGCCAAGTGTTTGAAGGTGTGCACTGGGTTGTGCAATGGGAAGCCAAAGAGGGCCACTATACATGCTTCAAGCACTGGACAGGTCCAAGGACACCTCCATTCTAGAGCTGCAAAAACAGACCTCAGACAAGCCTGACCCTGACCTGCAGCTGAATGGCCTCAGTTGCCTGCTCTGCTGAGGTGGGGAGTGGTGAGGATGCCCACTCCCCAATCCAGATGCTAGAAGAGGTGTGTGGGCCAGCTGGAGCCCCCAAGGAAACATCTGCACATTCCAGAAGCATGTGGTCAGCAGAGAGCCAAGTGCCAGGCCCAGCACCCCCGCCCCGCACTGGCCGCCGTACTGGAAACTGGGCTCAGGAGAAGGCTGAGGGGCCGTCTGCGGACATTATGTAACCCACTCCTCCAGAGCCAGCCTCCTCTCTCCAGCAACCAGGACAGCAAGGTGGTTGGGGGTCCCCATCCCTGGCCAAGCCAGCCTGCCCCATCAGCTCCCTGGTGGAAACAGGCTCTCCTCAGCTCAGCTGAGCACCTGGAAATATCCCTCCAGGAGTCAGAGCCATGGTAGA